TAAATATATATATATATATATATATATATATATATATATATATATATATATATATATATTCAATATTGAGTTAATTACTTTCTTTCTCTATGAAATATTGATCTTAATACATATATTCATAGTATGATACATATATTCAAACAATATCGTATAAATTACTTTGTTCCTCTGTGATAAGTGAAGTATCAGTTTTGACAAATAGAAGTTCTGATAAATGTTTGAGGAGTTCGCGAAGTCTGTATATTTCTTCATAACAATGTTTCCATTGTATACTGGATATTATCGTAGGACCTTTCTTTGGCTAAGTCAAACCGTATCGATATTGTTGACTTCAGGGACAGTTACGGCACACTGTGCGCGCGTGTGTGTATAAACACAACTGTCGCTATTTCTCAGCAAGAAACGCGTCTTCTCTTAAGTTTTTTTTTTATTCCTCGGGACAATGGAGCTGTTCGCGAATGAATAGGATCAGTTGCGCGCAAGAATGGACTTACCTTCTCAAACATCTTGCCGTACTCGTCGTAACCGATGTAATTCGACCTGAGCCATCTGCTGGCCAGCTCTCTAGCGAAGTCCATCGCTTCTTTCGTTGACGTTTGATGGAGACCTTTAACCAAAAAGGACTGCAATGGCGGCCACGCGTTAGGGAAGTCCCACTGCTCGCCGGTCTGGTTCACGGAGGTTGGCGTGCCACCTGCGGTGAAACAAGCGAATCGTTTCTAACACCATTGTTTCTTACGGAGATCACCTTGGCCGATCCGAAACACTCGCACCCGACAGAAGCGGCGGACAAAAACCACCCCCAACGAAGCACGCTCCTTCGTACCTCCAGATTTGGTCCATCAACTTTAAATTTAATTTCCGTCGATCAAGAGGCACGCTATTTTCGGCACTTCCTACGACATTTTATTATGATAATGTTTAATAAATTTTAGTTTGGATATTGTAAATTGAAGCTTTTAATAATGACGTAACATGCACGCACACGTACGTAAATGTGTGTATTTCCATTTTGAGAATAAATAGAAGAGATTAAAGATATCTCACATCATCACGATAATTGCGTATTTGGGAATAATTAAGTTGACATTCTTTTTTTAAATTGCGTTAACAATTAACTTTCAATATTAATATTATTAATAGTAAACATCTAATTATTCGTGGCAAACATTTATATTATTATTGATGTGTACATTTGTGTAGAAAACATAATTTGATTCGATTAAAACGAGCTGCAATTTAATTTGTATTAATGACTGAATAAAAATTTATCTGGGCTATCGTGTAGAGAATTAAAGTATCTCTTGTGCCGAATCAATCATACTAAATATGATATATAGAGGGTTTGAGTTTATCGCGGTTCTTTTCATTCACATCGCCTCTCGATTCTTTGATCAAGTTCAGGTCAATTTTTCGCTGATGAAAATTTTATCGATTGCCTTTTTTTCCAATCTCGATGCCGCTATTCGTCTCTTTATAACGCATTTCTGGTCATCTTTTACCAGCAAATATCACAATTGGAAATTGAGACTTTTGCTTTGTATGATGATCTTTTATTATGAAAAAAAATCTTGTCTATAAAATTGCATGTTTTACTCTTTCATGGCATGGTACTGCTGTTATAAAGTAGTTTGCGACGAAAAACTCCATCAGAAACAAAACTTTACAAATCGTTCTCCAATATTTCGAGCGCGATATTTAAGGATTAAAAACGATCACAATCGTCTATATATTTCCCAGGACCAAATAATATGTTGGAAAACAATCCGTCATATTTTATAAGCCACACGCAAAAAAAACTAGCTTCCAGAGTTAAAAAATAGCTGTGACAGATAAGATGTGTCACTAAAATAAGGACAGCTAATATCCCTTCGATACTATCGAAACTAAATTTATTCGCTGTTAAACTTAGGCGCTACAGCGAGAAATATTAGCTACTAGAAATAAATGACTGTAAAAAATGATTGTAGCTGTGCGGCAAACTTCTTTAATATATGCATACGATAAGAAATTTAGGAATAACTGCCATTTTCTTAGCTACTTGAATAATGTGTAATACATTTTTAATGTTACCTAATATATTTGTATTTCATAGCGAATACATTTTAGCTGTCATAGCCAATTCTTAACAATGACAGCTAAACGATTAGCCTTTAAGTTTGAATCAGCTACCGCGGTTTAGCTGATATTACTAAGTTATTTTTTTGCGTGCAGTATTAGTCACACGCGTAACAGACAAAGAAAATAATAATGGCGTTTATTCGCGAGAACTTATTTTGCCAGTATTTCGACGAGGCACTGTCGTTGGCAGCCGTAAACCCCGATCGAAAGTAGTTTCTAATAGTCGTCCAATTTTCTCGGGGTGCGTGCGATTGGAGCGATTGGAGCATCGATAAATCGCGATATTTCACCGTCCCGCCTGGAAATCTCGCTTGCGCATACGTCTCCTCCGTTATACTATTATTATGAATAATGACACTTCACCCGCAGATATGATTCGCCAAGGCCGTTCTCATAAATGCGCTTATAATCGAGTAAGAAATATTATTTCAACATCGATTTCCCCGTTTGTCTCTTAACGAGCGAGTTAAGAGAAGAATGTATATCTACCTGTGCATGCACATGTGATTTCGTCCACTAGGAAAAACTGATGATGAATTCAACATGCTAATTAAAAGTGTAGCTTGTTGTTAAGAGAGAACACAAATGGCTAAATGGTTTAATTGAGCTTCCAAATTAAGCATGCCACTAACAGATAATAAATTGCGAGTAAAGTAGCATAGTATATGAATGCTAGATTGTCACAATTAGAAAGTTTAGTTTAATTACTGTTGACGGTAGTGCTGTTGTGCGACTGCAATTTACTAGAATAACCCACTTGTAGCGTCGTTCCATTCTCATGACTGCATTCGTATATTACATTGGGTGTTTGGAACCTCGGACATTTATTATGTTCGTTAGATATGTAGTTCCGCCCCAGCTTCTATGAGCGAGAGTATTGGACGAAATTACTGTTTACCCGATCCGGAATGACTGACGGGGAAGTTTGGCGGGTAACTTGGCGAGTTTGTGAAAGAAAATGGAAGATAAACGATCGAACAGCGCTCGGCGGAAGCGGAAGTTGGATTAACTGATCTGCTTTACCACCACGTGTTCATGGACCGTTAGAAACGGTCGAGCACTTAATATTTCAATTACGCTGTAATCGTCGTTACGCCGTCTCTCTTTGTCTTCTTTAAACCTCTATTTCATTAGTTTTAATTGTCTTGATTGTGAAAAGTGTTCAAGAGAAGCGAATTATGTTTAAGGGAAGATAAATTTGAAGGAAACGTTTATCTTTGAAGTCTTTTCCGAGCCAAATTATACTCAGGGTGACTGAAAACATGTATGGGGAATAAAAGAGAAAGTTTTGAGAATTACAAATAGAAGCTCGTGGGAGGCAACTTTGAGCGTCGTCAGCGAAACAACAATAATCACAAACAAGCACATTAATTCAGGCCGGAATGGCCTTTGATAGAAAACTTACCAAAGAAGGCTTCGATCTTGTTTTTTTTTAGGTAATCAACAGCCCTTTGTGCGTATTCATTTTTCTTTGACTTATTATAGTTCATCGTATACAGAGGCGTCAAGTTCGAGGGATAGAATGCATTTCTAGCTCGTTCATTTTCTACGTCATAATCGAGCCAGACTCCCTCATCCTCGTTCCACAGAATGTTGTCGATGGCAGCTTGATAGTCCGTCGCGATTTTGGTATAATACTGGGCTTTCTGGAATGAGAAAGGGAGAAAATAGCGTTGCCGCAGCGACGTGACACCGTGACAACGTTTATGTAAGATAATCGATAACGAGCGATTTAAGACGACAGTGATATGCCACACCTTCGCTTTGACGAGCAATTATTTTCCAATTTTCGCAATCAGAACAGATTTTGCAACGTATCAATATTATTTCTTTTATTAGCCGACGAGATTACTTCTGTCACTTAAGATAATTCAACCATGTGTAAGAAATGTCTAAGAGAAGAAAATTATTTTAGAACTGTTAAGCGTGTCAGAAAATAATAAAAATTTCTAATTAAAATTAGCATCGTGCACTAAGAAGAAAAATACTTGAAAATTTATTTGCGAGATATAGAACTTATTTCGGTAAAATAAAGTTTATGTATGTGTGAAATCAAGTTTATTTCTGTATTTATAAACTTTATATCCCGCAAATAAGTTTTCAAATATTTTTTCTCAGTGTAGTAAACATTGTGAAGTTACAATTCACAATTAGTTTATATTCCTGTCTCACCGCGCGAGCTACAAAAGCTTAGTTATATCGTGCAATAATTAAGGATTAAACAAATATAAATATATACCGCGTACTATTACTTTCGAAAAAGTAATATCACAGTAATAAACATGTCACTCAGTGGCGCACGTGTATGAAGAACGATCCAAATGAAAAGTTCAGCAAAGGGTTTACCTCCGGGTTGTCCAGGATATCATGAAACTCGGCAAGCAATCTGGCGTTTTTTGCTAATATCGCGTTTAAGTCAACGGGTATAATATTGCTCGTGGAGACGTTGACGAGACTGAGGTTAGCATTCTTGTTGGTCACAACGCACCATCTGTAAGAAAAGTCCCAGCCGCTTTCCGCAGCGGCTTTCAAGTTGTTGTAAAGTGCTCCTCGCTCCTGTTCCGGCAATTGTTGCGCCAGCGAGTAATCCTCTCTACGAGAAAACGTACACATTTGCGCTCTTGCGTGTTAGTCCTTCATAATTAGCACGATGATCGAAGAGCTCCCTTACTGATCGGCGCGAGCGTCGTAGCGAAAACTTGCCGTGTCGCGAGAAAACTGATTGTACACCGATGTCGAGTTACACGCTACAAGGATATTACTCGACAAAACCTTCAAAACTACGAGAAGCGGATGGATTAATTAATTTGATAAAGGTTGACTTAAAATGTTTCTTAGTACAAGTTACAGACTATTTTCCTTTTTAGGAGGAATGTTGTATACAAAAGTCTACTTTAGCATTAAATTATAAACGCCATAGCATTAAATTACAAATGCCATTGCGTTATATTCCATTTCAAATACTGGATAGATATATTACTTAAAAAAAAGATATATATATATATTATTTTTTAAGTAATATATCTATCCAATATTTGAGATGGAATATAATGCAATGGCATTTGTAATTTAATGCTATGGCGTTTGTAATTTAATGCTAAAGTAGACTTTTGTATACAACATTCCTCCTAAAAAGGAAAATGGTCTGTAACTTGTACTAAGAAACATTTATATATATATATATATATATATATATATATATTGTTATACGCGTCGCCTGATATACTTTTCGACCGCGAGTCAGCTGCCGTTCGCGAGAGTCGATCGGCTCCGGTCAGCTGTCGCTACAGCAACGAAGTGTCAACGGATTAGCTGTATGTCACGGCAACGAAGTGTCAACGGATCAGCTGTTTGTCACGGCAACGAAGTGTCAACATAGAGTTGGAGAGAGATTGCGTTTGACGGCGGACATGTCTCCGATTTCTTTTAGCTTTTTAAAAAAACGCTCGCTTGTACATAAATAGAAATAGAGTTCTTGTTTGTTCCGCGAAACCCTGTGTTCTTATTTCCGCGTTCCGCGCGCGTAACAATATATATATATATATATATATATATATATATATATATAATTTCAGGCGTATTTCGCCATTATAGGAAAGAAAAATTTTGCAAAAGTTAGTTGATCCTTTATCTAACAGGACTACACCCAAACAAGATGGATAGTCAAGCATTTTGTCTGGCTGTTGAATATTTCGCTCCATGAAGTTATATCGCGCATCTCGGCAGCTCCTCAATCATATTCCTTTCGAGAAAAACTTACTTGTAACTCTCCGGCCGCGGTCCACGGCTGTTTACGACGTAATGCGCCATCGTGTAGGTCTTACCGTTCTTTGTCACGTTCACTGTCTTCTCGTTATGCCAGTATTTGAACTCGGTCTCGAGAAGATGTATGTTTTTCTTCAGGAACTCGTAGTCGTTAGGCGTGGTCTCGTAGTATTTTGCAACCTGTTGGACAAAAGGGAGCATTCTCGTCAGGTAGACTCCAAATTTCTCGGTGAGCTGTTTAGAGAAGCAGGAATTATTCGAAGGAAAAAGGAATTCGTTAACGGCAGGATATCTGTGCGATATGTGCTAACTTGGACTGTCGTCAGCACGAAATAAGCATCTTGCTGGCCAGATCTACATACCATCGATATTAACAGAGGTGGTTGGCTCCTTGAGAGGTAATAAACCCTGCCGCCGTTTGGAACGAAACCGTATCTCTCCACCATGGAGAGAAAATTTTCGATCATTCCCTTAGCAGTGACATGCATGTCGCACAGTAACAGTCCCTCGATTATCCAATAACTGTCCCAGTAATAAAATTCTGCAGCAAAAATTTAACTTTTCACTCTCTTTGTAAAATATTTTTCCTTGTTTTTTTCCCCTATTGCGTTATGATACAACGTGTGTTAAAACTAGTGCCTGTCAATAACGCAGCTTTGTGGTATACTGTGCAGTGTTCGTAGCGAGAGAGAGTGCAAGTGACTAAAACGTAAAATAAAATGGAAAATTTGCATGGTAAGTTAGTAATTTGTACAGCAAGTTGAATAAGCAAATTTGTTTCTTAAATTTAAAATTAATCTACATTTTAATGTTACTATTTATAATAAATTTAAAAAATGAGCATGGACTTATTTGTATAATAGTTCTTTAAACAAGCATGTTTGCAAAGTATATTTTTACAAAAATTTAGAGTATAAAAAATATCATAAAAATTGTCGCAAAGGTTCTTGATTTTCGAAAAATGCAAACATAAAAATATACAAGGCAGGTTTTAGTACTGGTAACACGAATGCATAAAAATACACGAGCTATCGCAAAAACATCAACTTTGCAGTCCAAGTCCGTTGTTTTTTTACGAGAACATAACTTTTCTTAAAATTCACGTAGTCTGTAATTCCAAGTGAATTATGTGCGCGATTCATGAAAAGCTACCAGCACGAAATATAGAAGTGTAGAGAGCTTTTAAAATTTGTTAAAATTCAAATGAAAAAATGGGCCTCTGAATGCTTTTAAGATTGATCAAATTTCCTAAACTTCGTTAAAATACGCGAAATATCGATGAATATTTTTAAGAATATATAACTACGATTGACTGAATGATAATTAAGCAAATTGAAAAATAATCGATGGATAAAATAATCTCTCGAACGGCTGTCACATTAACTTTAAAAATAAAAATTGTGTTTTTACACAAGTGATCACCTTTAAATCGTCCCCCGGGAATAATAAAAGTGTTATTCACGTAAATTAGACTGTGCCGCTGCGGATTGACTATCACGTCGCTCTTTATCTTTCTCGCCAGCATCCTCCAGATCTTGTTCAAATCTTTCGCCCACTCGCGAAACTTGGGGTCTTGAATGAGTCGTAAAATGGCGGGGTTTTCCTTCCAGTCGGGTAACGTTGCATTTTCCAGTTCATCCTGCATGGCAAAATTCTCCTGGACGAATATGTCTACCTCAGTGGAATTTGGCGAGTTGTTGGTAGCTTTCATGAAAGCGTTGAAACTAAAGCAAAATCGAGTCGTATTAATTCCGCATTTGCTACTTCGATTTAATGGACTGGCTCTTGAAAGTTTATTCAGTCAGAAGATAATAGAACATTTTATACAGTGGAAAAATAACAGAATATTATCTTTTAATTTTGTGATATTTTCATACATATAAGAAGTATAAAAGAAAAATTAGTAAGATAATTATGGGAGGAATGTGTTTCGCTTCCTTTTCTTTTCTATTGATTTTTCTTACAAGTCTTTATTAGGCCAGTAGGTAAAGTAATTAGTAAGATTATTTTTTCAAAAAAATATAAAAATATAAATATATAAAAATATAAAAATATAAATTTACATAAATTTTTTAATTTATCTTATACATATTATATTCACTAATCATTTTAAATGTGCGTTGTCTTAAATTTATAGCTTTTTAAATTTCAGATATGATAAAGTGATATTACTTGATTTTTAAAGTATTCATCCTCTTTGATTTAAGGGGGGAAATCCAATTAGAACTTTCAAAAAATCGAATTTTTTTTTTTTGCATAAAATGTTTATTTAACATTGTAAGAATATGTTCCCAACGTTTTAAATCGAAATTCGCAGCCGTTCGGAAGTTATGGCCTCCGAGCGCAACAAATCTCTTGAGCAGCGTCGAGGCTCTAATAGCACGCAGCAGGTATACTCACCCGGAGCGGGGATTTTACCTTTCAGGGCTGCGATCCAAAACGTATAGAGATGTAATTATAGTTTTACTGTAGGTTTTGGAACGCACCCCTGGTAGATGGCTTTTATTTCTATTGTTACGTTTAGTCGAAACCGTTGGGTCCGTTGGCGCTGGCATCGAGCAGAACCGGTTTTCAGTTTAGCTCCGAAGTTCGGCCTGTACAAAACGACAGTGCAAATTCGAAATGTCC